AAAAATTAATACACATAGATTTTACTTAATTTATCCCTTATAGTTCAAACATGCAAGGGATAAAATTTGCTATTTACACCATCTCTTAAATTTATTCTGTGGAACTTTTCACTAGTGAGTATAGTTCATTATCTTTAATGCCTGATAGTATTCAATAGTATGGTTATACCATAGTTTGGCAATCTTGTAGTCACTCAACCATGTTTATTATCAGCAGTGTGCCAAATCCAGGAAGTATAATAACATTTAGGTTTGTTTGTTTTTTTAATGTATTAGTCCAGGGTCTCACTAAACAGATCGGACTCATAGTGTTTCTCCTGTTTTCAGCCTCCCAAGCGCTGGAATTACAGACATGGGCCACCACGCCCAGTCTCAATCCCTGTTTCAGTGTGCCCCAGGGGCGGGGCTGGCACAGCAAGCCAGGGATGGAACCCCGGCTCTCTCCCTAAGCAGGTGCTTTAGTCTGCTGAGCTATCTGGCTGGCCCATAATAACATTTTAAAATGGACTAGTTCTCTGCCTTCTTGGAGCTTTGAGGCAACAGTATGAGGGAAGTTGTTAATGAAATAGGAAATCGTAAACAGTAAACATGAAATATGAAACTGCAGAGTTTATGATTGTCTCAGTTATTTTTCATTTGTTGCTGGGACAAAAACACCTGACATCCAAAATTAAAGAAAGAAAGGTTTATTTAGCTCACAGTCTTTGAAAGTTTCAGTGTATACTAGGCTGCCTCCTGGGCAGAGTGGCACATGGCAAAGAGCAGCAGTTCAAGGCAAGAGAAACCACCAGAGCAAAGGGAAGGGCAGCGGCTGTGGCTTCTAGCCAGCCTCTCTCCCATCATAAACAAGCTACCCAGGCTCTGGGGGTGTAGAACTCACACAGTGCCCATGCCCTCCTCTTGCACAGGGTGAGTATGTTTACAAACTAAGAATCCTGGCTGTCTGCTGAGTCACTTAAACTTCTCAAGTTGACACAGTGTATTACCCAGTACAACCCACCCCTTGTCAATTTGGCAATCAGACATTTCCTTAAACCAGTTTCCAGGTACACAGACATGCTTATTAACATTTTACAACTTGCATTGTATTACATTAGAACCATGACATTTTGCCCCTGGGCACCTTCCCAAGATTCATGCACATCCCTTTATGCAAAAGACATTTTAGTCCATCTCTAAGAGTTGCCAAAGTCCTAATAGTTTCAGCACTGCTGAAAAGTGCAAGACCCAAATCTCCAAGATAGTAAGTCACACTCTTAGCTGTCAGCCCTGTACAAATGAGAAGTTAAACACTTCCACATTTAATGATTTGGGGTTTGTTTTGTTTTGTTTTTTTGATGGAACTGGGGATTGAACTCAGGCCCTTGCACTTGCCAGGAAAGCACTTATTCTACTGAGCTATCTCCCTAGCTCCCACTTCTGCATTCAATGGTACAAGAAAAAAATTACCATTCCAAAAGGTACCAGCAGCAGGATACAAAGCATTGGGACCAGGGGAAGTCCAAAATCCGGAAGGGCAAACAATTAAATCCTGTAGTTGCATGTGGAACATCTGAAGTAAACTGTAACAAGTTATGAGCTCCAAAAGCCTTACATGGTTTCACCCCTTTGACACTTCTGCTGGTAGCTCCCATGGCTTTGCCCATGCACTGGCTTTGCTCCCTCTTTGCAGCTTTTCTCAGACAATTCATGTTCCTGGCTGTTCCATACTTTTGGGGTTTCCACTGAGTAGTCTTCTCAGCTTTACATACTGCCTTCTCGGGGGCACACTGCCTGGTCTCCCAGGCCTTCTGAAATCTAGGTGGAAGCCTTATTAACCTCAGAAGTGCTGCATTCTGCATGTGCCTAAAACCAATGCCATGTGGTTGATGCCGAAGTCTACAGTCAGCTGGAGCAGTAGCCAGGCTTTCTTCTCTCTTGGCTGTTGGGGTCGAGTGCCTGGATCGCTGAGCACTCTGACCCTGATTCTGAGGAACAAATTCTCTATGCTGCCTCCATTCTGGAACATGAGGTTCTGTGACTTTCTCCAAAAAGCAAAGTCCCTCACCCTTGGGATTGTGAGGCTGCAAAGGGTGAGAACCTGCCACCTCCTGTGATGCCCTCAGGACATCTTTTCTATTCTATTCCTCCTGGGCAATGGAGATCTCAACTCTATCTTTGCCTTCCTGGCCAAACTCACATTTTAAAACATTCTGCTGGGCTCTTTGCTCTTGACTCTCAACATATATCTGACTAAAAGCCCCAACAATAGCCATGCCACTGCTTCAACATTTGACTGCCTTGGATTTCTTTTGCAAGATTAACTTGTCCACTGTACTTAGTCTCAGGCAAAGTCTCTGGACAGGAGCAAAATGCAGACAAACTTTCTGCCATCATAAGACAAATAATCTGCAGTCCAACAACTAGTGCAGTCCTTCCCAACACAAACCTCCATAGCCTGGTCCTTTTAGGCAGGCTTTCTATCAGCATTCTGGTCTGAGCTCTGACAGAATCTCCCATACAGAAGAGCTGAAGGCGTTTCACCTCTTCACTAATAGGCAACTTCTCCAAACCTTTCCTGTTTCTATCATAAGCCAGTCCCCAAAACTCTTGAACATGGTCAGGTCATGACAGCAACGACCCCACTTCTCTGGTACCCAATTCTGTCTCAGTTACTTTTCATTTATTGCAGAAATAAAATACCAACCAAAATTAAGGAAGGAAAAGTTTTATTTAGCTCACAGTCTGTGGAAGTTTCAGTCTACACTCGCTGGCTCCCAGGCAGAGTGGCAGATGGCAGAGAGCAGCAGCTCAAGGCAGCAGAAAACAGCGAAGAGCAAAGGGAAGGGCAGCAGCTGTGGCTTCTAGCCAGCCTCTCTCCTGTCATAAGCTACCCTGGGGCTGGAGGTGTAGAACTCACACAATGTCCATGCCCTCCTCTTGCAGAGGATGAGGATGTTTACAAACTAAGAAGAATCCTGGCTTTCCTTCTCGCCGTGCGTCGCCGACATGGTGTTCAGGCGCTTCGTGGAGGTTGGCCGGGTGGCCTACGTCTCTTTTGGACCTCACGCCGGAAAGCTGGTCACAATAGTCGATGTCATCGACCAGAACAGGGTGCTGGTGGATGGACCCTGCACTCGCGTGAGGTGGCAGGCCATGCCTTTCAAGTGCATGCAGCTCACTGACTTCATTCTCAAGTTTCCACACAGTGCCCACCAGCTTCTTGGCTGGAACCTTAGCTTTAGCAGCAGCAGCTGCAGCTGTGGCAGCATCAACCGCAGCCTTTGCAACAGGTGCCTTTTTGGGAGAAGCTGACCGTTGCTGGCAAGAAGGCATCTGGCCAGAAGGCTGCTGGTGAGAAGGCCTCTAGCGAGAAGGCTGCGCCTGTCCCAAAGGCTCAGAAGGGTCAGAAGGCTCCAGCACCAAAGGCATCAGCTCCAAAAGCATCGGGCAAGAAAGCTTGAGGCTGTTAAAAGGGAATAAAGGCTCTTTTTGACATTGACAAATTTGTTAGGTCTGGATTTAAAAGTGTATTGTGATGGGATTGTGACCTTGCTAGAGGAGCCTTAAACTCACGCTGGAGGAGCGGTGCCCTCCATCACCAAGGGCTCCCTGGAGAGCCTCACCACAGCAATTCAACATTTTTCCTTGTACAAATACATAGGAGGTGGGGTTTTCCCATCCCATAGGCAAAAAAAAAAAAAAAAAAAAAAAAAAAAAAAAAAAAAAGAAGAATCCTGGCTGCCTGCTGAGTCAATTAAACGTCTAAACTTCTCAAGTTGACACAATGTATAACCAGTACAATGATGCTTTGAGCCTGTTCATACATCTATTTGGCTAGGCCACAAACAAACGTTTTAAAGAAAATACTGTAACATAATTCTGAGAGCACATGGGTGAAGACGGCATGACTAGCCTTAAGACTGGCATTTGGGGGCACTAAACAATGTAGCAGAAGAAACAGCCTGAAAGGTAAAATTCATGGGAAACTAGCCTTAAAAAATAATTTTACAACATGTACGCCTCGATTTATAATTGGGAAAATAACGTCAAAAGACGCAGCTTTCCATTTGAATCTGCAGAGTAAATTTTTCAAGCTTCTACAAAAAAAAGGGGTCAAGAAAGCAAGGTTTCCTCGTTGATTTTCTGTTCCTTTTTCCCTCTCTGCACCAGTCTCCTATAGGGATTGAACAAATAGGGCTTTCGCACTATACTACACCCCCAACTTTTTTTTTTTTTCCAGTTTCAGATACAATTGAATTTATGCTCCTCCAGTCTTGTCTCCCAAGGGTGTGGTATACTTGGTGTGCCCTCAGAGCTCACCTGTCTTGACACAAAATCAGACATCTTCAACATGACCTGTCCAGAAGCCTATTTATTTATTTAGATAGCTCAGGATGCCTTCAGGGCATTTCTGGTATGGCTGGAGGATCTGGGGATAGAACCACAGCAACCTGAGCCTGAAAGCTCTGTTTAAGCAGTCACTTAAACAACTGTGCTAATAGGCAGGCTCCCGAAGCCTAAATTTAAAACGCTAACTCTCTCCCCTCGCATGTCTTCTTTTAACTATAGTATTTATCGGTCAGGAAGGGAAGATCCACCTTTACTTCTCCAGTTAGCATTTTTTCGCGTGCATGTACACTCCTGAGATTCTAGAATTCCCGGTGCTTTCAATGCACAACTGGAAGACGCTGAAGAGACCAGCCAGAAACACTCCTATTCTCTGTCGTAAGCACCAAGACTACAACGCCAACGTTGCAGTCACCTGAGCGGAAATGCCTCTTCTTGACGCTGATTGGACGCAGCGGAGCGATGCAGCCTGGGCCTTCCTCCCCAGTGCGCATGTGCACAGGAAGTGGAGGCGCCGGGGAGGAAGCGGGGAGGACCAATCCCTGATGTGCGCAGACGCAGTAGCGCTGGCAGCGCGGGAAGCTTGGGGGATGGGGCGGCGGAGACCAGCCTCGCTGGGGTTTGGATCTCGGCCACCCTTGGTAGTGGCGGCTGCCGCTTGAGGTGGCAGACTTGGGCCAGAGCTCGGTGCTGCCGCGCCAGGCGCCCGCTCCCAAATAGTTCTTCGCCCGGCTGCTGCCAGCCTGCGCTTCTCCGGACGCCGTCGGCCTGCCGTCGCCCCGACCGCCCTCCCTCCCCGGCGGTTCTCTTCTCCTCTTTATCCGGAGCGTAGAAGGCGAAAGGCCCGGCTCGGCACGGAGCCCTTTCCGTGCCCATCGCAAGTGCCACCGCCGCCATGGGCCTCACCATCTCCTCGCTCTTCTCCCGCCTGTTCGGCAAGAAGCAGATGCGTATCCTGATGGGTGAGTGAGGGGCCGAGGGGAGGCCGGGCCCGGCGGGGCGGGGTGGCGAGTCGGCGCTCGGGACGGCCCGGGCCGCGGGGCGGGCTGCCTACCGGGCGGGGGTCGGGCGGTCGGGGCGGGGACCCGCGGGCGCCGGCGAGGGTCCCTGACAGCTGTCGCCGGCGAGGCCTGCGCAGAACCTCAGGCGAGGTTTCCCGCTCCGGAGCGCGGCTCGCTTTCTCTGCAGTTGAAAGCGGGACAAGATGGGGTGGAGGCGTGGGGGGAAGCGACTGGGAAGCGGGCCCTGGTGAGTCGGGCTCTCGGGGGATCTTCTTCCCGCTGCTCTGGGTGTGCACAGCGGTCGGGAGGGAGGCCGAGCGACTTCAGCCTTTCTCCTCCCCCTTTCCCCTTTGGGTAACCCTGCACCCGCACTGGTGTGTGAGCTGGGGGTCCGGAGCTGTACGGGTTAGGAGCTTACTAGCTCGCATAGTGACACCATGAACATTTTTGAACAAGAGTTTATGTGCGCCTGTTTTTAATATTCTTGATAAATGCCTTGGGGCAGAATTGTTGGATCATGTGATAATCGTGTTTAAAATTTTTTGTTGAGTTTTTTTGTGTGTGTTTAATGTTTTGAGAAGCAAATCAACTGCTTTCCTAAGTAGTTACACCGTTTTACATTCTCACTTCCTATGTGTGAGTGTTCTAATTTCTCCATGAGATAGTAGTTTTTGAGTACCTCTGCACCTGTGATGTTCGGAACATTTGTCAATTAATTCAGATTCATTGTCTGAAAAATGAGAAGTTAATGTAAGAAGATTTTTCAAAACTATATGGATCAAACAGATTTATTCTTCTGAGTACACAAGGAGCACTAAATTTTGTCACTTTAAAATTATGAGGCTGTGTTTTATACATTTAGAAAATTTGAAAGATGAAGACATGAAGAAAAATCTGTTACCCATTTGAAAATACACTTTTTCATTTCTGCAGTCATTTTTCCCCAAAGTTGAGGTAATTGCACCCAGCTCTTCTTCACCTTAAAAGTGTTTCTCACTGCCGTGATTTGATAGACATATTTGTTTTTTGCCCCTTTTTTTTTTTTTGGGGGGGGGTTGGTTTGTTTTATGTATTTAGGACAGGGTCTACGTAGATCAGACTTGTAGTGCTTCTGTTTTCAGCCTCCCAAGCACGGGGATTACAGGCGCATGCCACCTCGCCCAGATAGACATAGTTTTTAATGATTAGCAAAGATCAGTGAAGTAGTTTTACTTCCTTTATTAATAGTTCGATCAAAGTGCAGGAGTACTTAAGGAGAACCAGCAGTGGTTCAGTATATCTTTTAATACAGTGAGTTGTTTACAGTAGGTGGAGGGGAGGGAGCACATTGCTGGACTGTACAGATTAGTCTTATCTTGGCTCCTTGGGAATTGGTTATAGTTTCATTATGTGGTAAATCTCACAGCTGAGAAGTTCAACATGAAGGAAATATGTACTAAAGCAATTAATGGGACACAAAATTGTGAGACTAACATGTTTTGAAGTAAGAAACCATACAGCCATATTTATTGGGATATGAAAACTAACCATGGAGAGGGAGAAGAAAGTATTAAATATGCATAAAGTGTGGGCGTGGCTCAGTGGTAGGGAACACTTACCTGGTTTTGAGGGGTCTGGGTTTGATCCCTAGCAGCGGAAGGGAGAGGAAGGCATACAAACAATATAAAGCTTATTAAAAATAAAAGACAAATTCTGTTCCCTACATGCTTTTCTATAATTTTTCCTTTTGGTATTGGAAATTGAACCCAGGACCTTCCCATTGACTTGTATCTCCAGTTCTTTTTTGAGGGGGACTAATGGGATTTGAACTCAGATCCTTGTGCTTGTCAGGCAAGCTCTGTGCAACTGCACTGTATCTTCAACCCTGTCTGGTTCTTTTTAAATTTAATTTTAATTTGCCCAGGCTGGGCTTGACATTGCAGTCCTCCTGCTTTGGTCTCAGAGTGCTGTTAAGTATGTGCATTGTGCCTGTCTTTTTCCAGTCTTTTGTGAACATTATTGGGTTCATTGTGCTTTATTTTATTTTATTTATTTATTTATTTATTTTTTGCGGAACCGGGGTTTGAACTCAGGCCCTTGCGCTTGCCAGGGAAGCACTTATTCCACTGAGCCAGCTCCCCAGCCCCATCATTGTGCTTTTAAATGGTGCTATGAGGTCCATTTGGACCTGCAGTGAGGACTGATTGGTTCTGAAAAGCTCACTGGTATGGTTTTATTTTATTTTATTTTATTTTTTGTTCCTCGAATGGCTTCAGGGCACTTTTGACCAACGGGAGAGTTGTGAGGTTCGAACTCCAGCAACCTGAGGCTGAGAGCTTTGTGGAAGCAGCCACTTAAAGGCCTGAGCTAGGGCCATGCCCCCAATTTATTTATTTTAAAAAGTATAACATTGAATTTATTATTTCTTTCTCAAGAGAGTTTTCTTCAGTCCATTAAGACCCAGCTCCCCTTACATGGGCTTTGGTGGAGGTTATGGGGCACCACCAGTAGGCGTAAAGCTGGGTGGAGGAATTCGGTCCTTGTGGGCTTCACAAGATCGATTTCTGACCACTTTGCTGTGAAGGACACAACTCACACAGTAATGCAGCTTCACATACAGCTTGGGAAACACATAGCCATCAAAGACACTCGATTCAGAAATGCCCCTGATGGCGGTGGCCTCCACTGTGTTCAGAATGACAAACTTCTTAATAGCCTTAGCCTTGGGTACATACTGGGTGCAGTTCGTGCAGCAAATAGGCTGCACATGACCGCGGCCCTTTTTGGCACGACCGTTGTTCCTTCTTTTTTTGTCATCTTGGAAAAGAGGACCCGAAAGAGGGATGGATTTATGTATGTATGTATGTATGTATGTATGTATGTATTTTTGCCCTCTCATCAGTATCTCAGTTTCAGTTCTGATTTGGAAGAATTGTATTTTGAGATAGATTAATTTATATTTTCTTAATAACTTGGTGAAGATCACCTAAAGAGATCTCAGATCCTCATTAGGTATAGCTTTGTAGGAAAATTTAAAGATCTTTTTGCTGTTTGTGTGTCTTAGTTTTCTCATTGCTGAGACAAAATACTGACATCTACCATAAAGGAGGAAAGGGTATGTAGCTGAGTTAGAGGTTTCAGCTCACAGCTGGCTGGCTCCAAGGCCGGTGGGTGTGGTAGAGGAACATCATGGAGGAGAAGCAGCTCAGGGTGGGCAGAAGGCAGCAAGAGCAGTGAGTCGCAAACCTCTTTCTGTCCCTGATGTCCTGTCCGGGCCTAAACACTGACCCCCAGCACAAGGCATCCATAATCTTAGTATCGCATCTTTGATCACAGCACTACCCACACTAGATATAACACCCTGAAAAGCCTCACCTGTGACCACATGAGGTTTTGGGAAGATATCTAGAGCAAAGCCATTATAGTGTTGCTTTGCTTTGTTGTTGCTGTGTTTTGTAATTTTTTTTTTTTTTTTAATAGAAAAGCAACAATCATTTTATTTTTCCCTGAGGCGCTGGTGGTTGTGGGGCTGCCATATCCCTGAGGCTTTCTTCTGCCTGTGGTTCAGCACCTAGGCCATGTGGCTCTCCTGCTGCTTTTGGATCCGGAACTCAGACATCTGATTCCTGAACAACTGTTTGTGTTGGCTGATAACTTGCTGCAACTCCTTGTTCTCTTTCTCCTTGCTATTAAGTATATCTTCTTGTTTTGCAATGTGAAACTCAGTGTCATTGCACATGGTGATGAGCTGGCCCTTCTTGCTGGACTCTGCAGGACTCGGCTTTTGACCCTGGAGAGTGCTTTTTCAAAGGCCAGCTCCTTCACCAGCTGCTTGGACAGCACCTGCACCTCTCCAAGGGCAAACTGCAGCTTCTCTTCTTCCTCGGCCAGGAGGAGCTTGGTTTTGGCATGGGCAGCTTTCTCTTCCACCAGCTTCTTTTCCATGGCCTGAAACTCTTGTTCACTGATAAAATTTACATCCTGGAGAACCATCACGTTCTTCAGCTGGTGGATAAGTTCCTCCTGAGATTGAGTTATATCCTGCAGTTGGTTGAAGGTAAGGAACACAGAGCTTGAGCCTCCCAGTAACTACCTGAGGGTCATTGCCATCTTTTGCCCCTACCAGCTCATTGGAAAATTATTTTTTCAATTTTGCCGTGGTTACTTATATGTTTCTTTCATTATATTTTTGTAATTTGTGTGTGTGTGTGTGTGTGTGTGTGTGTGTGTGTAAGATGCTGTTACATATTCAAAAAACACAACAATTTTATGGAGCATTTGACTTTTATTATACCCATGAGTTAGGTATTATAGTATGTTATAGTACTTTGGAAAGATTAAACCTGGATCTCAGTACAAAGAACTGGAAGAACAAGGTTTGATTAGAGGTTATAAGAATAAGAAAACATGGGGCCGTGGATCTCCAGTTCCGCAACAAACAAACAAACAAACAAACAAACAAAAAAAGAATAAGAAAACATAGGAGCTTTAAGTCTCCAGAGAAATCTTTAAGCCACCCTTTATTAGGATACAGGGTAGAGAAAATCCTTTGTTATGTTGTATAGATGGAGGGAGTCTGAATTAAACTATGACACAGTACTGTACTGCTTTGGACACACCTGTACAAGTTAAATTTGTATGGGTATATAAGCTTGATAATGAAATGATTTAGTTTTTAAACTTAGGAGCATTGCTTTCCTGTGCTACGTGATAGTTTGATTTAAATATGAAGATGTCCTTGTGTAAGTAATACTCAATTGAGTTGATTTTACAAATTGATCAAACATCTGAGTGTGGCGGTAGACACCTATAATCCCAGCACTTAGGCTGAGACACAGTTGTTACCATGAGTTCCTGACTGACTTGTGCTACAGAAGTGAGTTCAAACCCAGCCTCCATTAAATAGTCAGACTGTCTCAAAAAAAGAAACAAAAAATTGATCAACCCAACCAGAGGTGATGTTCTTAGAAAAATTGAATGTGGTTATTACATTTGTTCTTTCTCTTCTGAAGCTTTGAGCTAACAATGAAGAATATATAAGTTCTGAGACACTTATATGTAAAGGCATTCACATTGCCCTTAAAACTTTAATGAGGCTTCCATTTCCTTCCCTCCTTCCTTCCTTTCTTCCTTCCTTCTTGTAGTAGTGAGAATTGTACCCAGGCCTCTCACACAAGCTGTCCCCAGCTCTTTAAAGTTTTGAGATAGGGTTTTGCTAAATCGCTTGAATTTGTGGTCCTCCTACCTTAGCCTCCCATAGTGCTTGCTTCACAGGCAGATGCCACCACAGTAGGCTAAGGCAACTTTTTTTTGGTTGGATTTCTCCCCCCAAAAAACCCATTACTCACTTCCTTTTCCTCTTTGTTTTTCTTCTGGTGTTTTGGCCAGGGTCTCCCTGTCTTACCTGCAGTTCAGGATGGCCTTCAACTCACCACAACTCTCGTGCCTCAGGCTTCTGAGTCTAGGATTACAGGCATGTGCCCCACACTGAAGCACAACTTTTACTTTCAGATTGTAAGTTACTTTAAAATGATGTCTTTGTGTGTTTTGATCTACAATTTAAATATATAATGTCTTTTTCTAGTTGGATTGGATGCTGCTGGCAAGACGACCATTCTGTATAAACTCAAGTTAGGGGAGATAGTCACCACCATTCCTACCATTGGTAAGAAAGCTTATAGATGAATTTCGTTTCTAGTGTAATGGCAGAGCTTACAGAAGTAGTGCTCTGTGTGTAAAACTTGCCGATGATCTTATTAGGACTTTACCAAAGCTATTCTGAAGAGAATAGAGGACTTTATCATTTCAATGGTGCGTTATTGTGCCTAACAATCATTGTTTGTTTTTTCCTTGTAGGTTTTAATGTGGAAACAGTAGAATATAAGAACATTTGTTTCACAGTGTGGGATGTTGGTGGTCAAGATAAAATTCGGCCTCTGTGGAGGCATTACTTCCAGAATACCCAGGTAAGGAGTGCTGTAAGGTTTTATAACATCTCTGTATGATGTTGGTCAGTCTTTGAACTGATTGGACTCTGTCCTGTTTGCTTGGATGTTGGTATTTACTGTATGAGTGGGCACTTTCCTTTTCACCACTCCCATATTGTGTAGTACACACTCAGGCATGCCTTGGAGGGCCACATTCATTCCTGTGGAGGGCTATGTAGCCATCTCGGTACGATTTTGAAAGCTGAGGTGGCAGTGCTGCGATGTGGACCTTAAGGATGAATTGAGTGTCTCTCATTGTTGGTTCTTTTGTTTTTTAGAAAATAAAGGAATGTATGGCTTTCTGTCATAGTAGTTTCT